AAATGAAAACTGACCTGTCAACAGATTTGCCGCAAATGAGATCCCATTTGTCTTTGAGATCTCTAAGCATACCATTCATGATCTTTGTATCCAATGGGTTGCTTTTCTCTCTTAGAGTACGTCCAGTTCGTACGATGTTGTCGTATACCGGCTGCTTAGCGCCAAGAGTTCTCTGGAACTCCTATATCATAAAAACAGATAAATGTTGCATAAAACAAATATTTTGTCTCAACATCTATGTAAAGTACCAGGATGTGCGACGAGGTCAGAGGTCAGAGGTCAGGCAAAACATACTACAGTGACATATTGGAATTCTTACCCTGTGTTGTGCCAGTTGTTGCTTCAATACTTTCGGGTCACTGCCAACTGATTTGTTAGCTATCAACATCTTCTCAGAATCTTCCAGCCAGCCATATAGTCTACGGTACTGGTCATCAAACTGGAAAAAGGGAAAAAACAAATTAAACCATGAATATATTCATAATAGAAATATGGCTAAATGTGTCAGAAGTACAAATCATGCTGAAAAAAATTCACCTATTTTCAGTACTTTAAATCAAAGATGTTTTCCAGTAAATTTTAGTGAAGCCCATATACCGGGTAAAGACTAAGTTGAAGATACCCGTAGTAGTCACCAATGTGTAGCACAGGCATTGTATATTTTTTTAATATTTACTGTTATTTTGTCAATGAGAATTTTGTAGAAATTTCCCGTCAGATCATTTTTTTTTCCTGTCTAAAATGTGCAAAGCTGTCAAAAATAACAAGGTGGCTGGCTAAAAGTCTGTTGTGGGGGTAATGTGAGGACTATTAGTTCATTTCATAAGTGAATTGCACACTTGTTCATGTAAATACCACCAAAAGTAAGTTTGTAATCTCCAAAACCACGGCGTAGATACCTGTTTAGCTCTCTTCATTCCTACTTCCAGTTGTCTTCTTGTGTCAGCGCATCGTGACAGGGCTTTCTCCCATCTATGCTGCACACTAACCAGCAGATTCTTTATGAGTATAACGTCTTGTTTCTGACTGAAGTATTTTAATTGTGTCCCAACTCTGTCGAGTTCTTTTATAGCTTCATGTTTATCCTTGACTTGGTAAGTGAAATCCTAAATGAGTGAAAATTATTGTTAATGTTAAGTCAAACATTTTACTGGATTTTAACCTAATTTTTTTCTTGTATTTTGGATTTACAAATTATTTAAATGGTTGCATCCATACTATATAAAAGACTATATAAATCCATCTAAAATCTTTACAGCAGACTACGTACTTCGTGTTCTTTTATTTGTTTGTTGACATTTTCCAAGATTGTACTTGGTGCCTTGCTGTTATTCAACGTCTTCTCAACTGTTGTCAGCCAGGAGATGAATGACTGGAGTGAGTCATGGAACTCTTGAGCTTGCTTCAAAGCTATTTCAAGTTTTTGCTACAAAGAAAAAGTACATGTATGATTTGAAAGTATCACTGAAATCCAAGATGGCTTCCATAATATAATTACCTAAGTTAGGGAGTTTAGTTCAAAAAAATCATATGCTAAGTGGTTGACAACGCTTGTATTGCTACAATTTAGAAGATTGCTATTTTAAGTTTGTATTTATAAAATACATCATTGAGATAAGGGAAAAGTAAACATAAATAATGGTACACACCGAGTTGTGCACAAAGCAATTACTGAACTAAGGAGTCACGTATAAACAATTACTGAAATAAGGAGTCACATATAACAAGGTTCCCTTTCAAATGATAAATAACACTCACCTTTCTTTCGAGAGACTTATCCTGTATACCTTGCCATTTACTTTCTAGGTTGTGTAGAGTGTGTTCTACACTGGTACGGCTTTCAGGGTCACTCTTTTCAAGAAGCTGGTGTCCCTTCTTAATGAGGAAATCCACATCAGGCTCTTTCCGGGCAATGTCTTTCTGTAAATTCTGTGATGAAAAATAATTGATTTAATTTTAAAAGTTTCTTAAAATTTATGCAACATGAGTCGGAAACAATAACCACAATAATAACTTCAGTTAATATGAATAAAAAAACAAACCTACACACCCCCATCTATGAAAGTGGTGTGTTCAAAAGCAGTATGTGTGATGGACTGAACTAATACTATAGGTTGGCTGAAAACCTTATGTGTCACCCCTACATACAAAAGTGGTATGACCCAATGCCTTATATGCATTGGGCCAAACCAATAATTCTAGGTGAGCTGTAGTGTGTGCAGCAGCAAAGTTATCCAGCATTGCGTGTTCATGTGTACTTACAGTGAAATGACGAACGGCGACAGATTGCAGTTAGATTGGTTACATTATACTTACGTCAAAATATATTTGTTTAGGTCTGAAATGTATTCGGATTACCGCGACTACAGAGCGACAACGTTCGTGGAAATCCTCAGCATGCAGACTAGATTTCTGCAAGAATGATGGCATTTAGTCTTTGTTGATGATGAAGCTTGTTAATTGGATTAATTATAATCCAGTTATACACAATTTTACTTGGTATTAGTTTTTTTTTTAAAAAGTTAGTGTGAAATTTTAAATTACAATTAGTGTCGCTATGGAATTAGTAAGAGTGTTTTATATTAGTACCACAATCGGCAATGCTGGAGTAGGGACACCTCAGCTACACTACCTACAGAAAACGATGAAGCGTACCTGACATACCGACTATAACATATTGCAAAATAAAATGTCAAAAATGAAAAAACAAAAACAAACATGCAATCTAGCTGCAGCTAAAACACTATCACTAGCAGATTGTTAAGAGTTTTTGAAAGAGTAAACATAAGTTCTTTGTAGTGAGTACTTCAAGCTGACTTTCTTCAAGAATGGAAGTCAACTTGAGAGTTATCAGGAGAGTAGGAGCACAGGAGTACTTGGAACTTGAAAGTAGACTTTACAATTAGAGTCTTTCGAGGAGTGGAAGTCAACTAGAGTCCTTTGAGGAGTGGAAGTCAACTAGAGTCTTTTGAGGAGTGGAAGTCAACTAGAGTCCTTTGAGGAGTGGAAGTCAACTAGAGTCCTTTGAGGGGTGAAAGTCAACTAGAGTCCTTTGAGGAGTGGAAGTCAACTAGAGTCCTTTGAGGAGTGGAAGTCAACTAGAGTCCTTTGAGGAGTGGAAGTCAACTAGAGTCCTTTGAGGGGTGAAAGTCAACTAGAGTCCTTTGAGTGGAAGTCAACTAGAGTCCTTTGAGGGGTGGAAGTCAACTAGAGTCCTTTGATGAGTGAAATTCAACTAGAGTCCTTTGGGGAGTGGAAGTCAACTAGAGTCCTTTGAGGGGTGAAAGTCAACTAGAGTCCTTTGAGGGGTGAAAGTCAACTAGAGTCCTTTGAGTGAAGTCAACTAGAGTCCTTTGAGGGGTGGAAGTCAACTAGAGTCCTTTGATGAGTGAAATTCACTAGAGTCCTTTGGGGAGTGGAAGTCAACTAGAGTCCTTTGAGCAGTGAATTC